CAGGTACTAGAAGGCTGCCGTAAGTTCACTGTTCTAAAGGTACTTCCCTTTATTTTTTAAAATTTTATTTTAATAAACTAAATTAAATATACAATTTAAGCTTCAGCTTTGAATATAGTTTATAGGGGTTTTTTTCGTCTTCAGTTCATTACATGACCTGTGTCTGCACTCAGTCTCACATGTGTTGAATACACCAATTATCAGAGTAAATACAAAGCATTGTGCTGTTATAAGTTGTCTGAATATTAAAACAAGACTTGAACAAAAGAATGGGACAGAGAAAAACGTTTTCCTATAATTAAGAAAATATTACCTTTTCTCCACGTTTTGCCTGTCCTGGAGAGAATCCTGGGTCTCCTTTAGGGCCCTGGCACAGAGAAATTAAGTTTAGTAATATCATCAGGAATAAGAGTTTTTAATAAAACAAGTATTTTCAACTGTTATATCAAGAGGAGGGGAAATGTTCATATGAAATAGACTTGTTATTACAGATGTTTTTTCTGCATAAGTTTTTCAGTATAGAACTATGACAAAATATGATAGTGTGAGTTTACATTGAAATGAGACATTTTCAGAATTTCCCAATGTCACGAAAACTTTTGGTAAGCGGGTTTTTTTGGTAAATCTGAGCAGGATTATGGGAGAGATCTCAGATGAACTGCTCTCTCCACGTCCCCATCACTTCAGAACATCACCTATTCTCCAAACACTGTGCAAGGTTATTGGGCTGTATTACTGCACTGATTACAATCTTCTCCAGGCTTCCCCACACTCAGTACCTGCCCAACACAGCACGGACATCATGGCTGGGAAGGACAGAGATGTAAGCATGCCACAAAGGTAGTTACGAATTACTTCCTAGCAGATGAAACAGCTCATCATTCTTGGCCAGTAATTACTGTCCGCAACCAAGACTGGGTGGCAGAGGGAAAGGACACTGTCACACCAATCTCTCCTACTTCAAGTCTCATACAACAGTTTCCAGTTGTAGTAAGACTGTGAACAGCTCTTGGTTAGTTAAAACACAAGCCTCTGAGAGCTTACTCATAGGCTTTCCTTTCCCTTGTAAGCATAATTAAATCCTCATTATTTTTAGTCTAAAAACCAAACAGCCCTAGTTATGCATGGCCTCCAGCTGTGGATTAACAGCACATAACCAGAGGTCAAGATGTGAGGATAAAATAAAGCATTTCATTATTTATTCTGTGTAACATTACAGTGGAGTCAGAACACTGTCAGAATCCACAAGCTACATTTTCTTAACTAATCCATTTTTCAGAGATCCAGGAATACAGCCAAACCTCATGAATACTTTTAAATTACTTTAGAAATACCCATCAAGGATTTATCAGTAATTAAATGCTGAGGACATCAGCTATTGTCTGGGACTACTAGCACACGCTCAGGGCTGGATTTGCCTATGTTACTCCATGTTTCAAAAGCAAGCGCATAAAGAATGCTTCAGCATAGGAGGGAAAAACTACATGCATCTCAAAGGCAGAATGAAATTCTGCATTAAGTTACTGCCAGTAACTTGCTGCTGTTTTCGAGATCAAAGAAAAATGTATTTTGTTTCAGTTTACATAGTCAGTGTGAGTCAACTGGATCATTTTTATTTAAAGAAAAGTGCTTCAGAAGACACTTTTATCGAAAGGATAATTTATAGTCTAACAGAAATGAGATCGCTAAGCACCAAGTAATATATGCATATATCTATTTTATATATGTGTATATATACATACATGCACACACATAGTTCCTTCTGGTCTTAAAATCATGGAGGCAGTTACAGAACTGATTGTGACTGTGATCAATGGAGGGGGTAAACACATTATAAAACATATCCTAGGAGTACTTAGTTACAATTATTTCCTAGTGATGTATTTTATTTTACAGTCAGCATAAATATTGCAAAAAAATAATTATGAATCTCTAAGTTTAACCATTCCTATAGAACTAGATAATAACAAAAGCACAGGGGGAAAAAAAAAAAGATTCACTTGGTTTTACAGCATTTGACACTAAAAGCTTCATTAAATTTGTTCGTATGTCCTCAAGCAGTTCTTAAACACCTGTCATGACAGGTCAGATTCTTGCCATTAGGAATCCCACTAAAACAAATCATGGTTGCTGCTATTTTTCCTAACATATCTATCACATTGTTCAAATTAAATATGAGTTGAAGGCATTCTGCAACTGCACACATCTGTCAAATCTGTTTAAAGGGCCTATGTTGCACAAGTTTGAAAGGTTTTATTTAAGCTTCCAGTCTAGGGTTTCACTTTTTTGTTTTGTTTTAAATATCACATTCATAAATCTTCAGAAAATTATATTAGCATATTAATCAAGTGATAATGTCTGAAATATTAGAATACTTAAGTATCAAAGGTTGGACACTGACAAAGGAGGATTTTATAGAGAATAACCTTATTTTTCTTCTTTTTTTTAGTCAAGAAAAAAAGGTTACAGCAACTAAATGCTTATTCTCATCTTAATTCCAGTTTATCAAAGAGCTCTTTTGTGAAGCACAGATAACTTGCACAGGTAACAGTTCCCAGGTCATCATTCTGCACACACAGGGCTTTTTTTTTTTCCCCTAAATAAACTGCTATTTTCTTTTGATTTGAAGTTCAATTTGATTGATTACATTTAATTAAAATATGTTTACAGTAACAGTTTCCATCTGTAAACCAAAGAAGGCCAATTGTTTTTTTAGGAAACAGTTCTGAAACTTCCCAAAAGTCCTTAAGAATTTCATGTATTTACATAGCAACATGGATAAAATAACTCACCTTTGGACCTGGCAGTCCATTTTGTTTTGATTTGAAGTTCAATTTGATTGATTACATTTAATTAAAATATGTTTACAGTAACAGTCTCCATCTGTAAACCAAAGAAGGCCAATTGTTTTTTTAGGAAACAGTTCTGAAACTTCCCAAAAGTCCTTAAGAATTTCATGTATTTACATAGCAACATGGATAAAATAACTCACCTTTGGACCTGGCAGTCCTGGCAAACCTGGATTACCATGTGGTCCTGGAATACCCTACAAAAAAAACAAACACAGAAAACAGTGGGATTATTCAGTACTCCACTGAACAAGTGTGAACAGTTTGCAGAGAATAATTTTGCTACATCATTATTGCTTTTAAAAACACTGTCTGGGACTTTCAAAGGATACTCAACAAATAAAACATGCACATCATCCTAAAAAATTAAAAAAGAAGTTGAGTACTTCTAAAAAAAAAAAACCACCTCAGTTTCTGTTGCCTTCCTATAATTCTTAACAGCTATTTGGCACCCAGTCATTGCAATGTTGGTCTCCAGCTACAAAACTTGGAAGCATGGGATAAAAATCAGAAAAATAATATTCTGAGGTGCCCCACTATACACTGAAAAAAGAAAGTGGATCAGTTCTCACAGACTTAAAAGATGACTCAAAGCAACGTATTCCTCCTTCTCTAAATAAAACATGGATAAAACCCCTTCACCAACCTGATACTCCCACAGTCAGTGTAGAAAATGGGCTTGTTACTAAAGGGGTTGGAATTAAACCATTCCAGGAACACAACAGGCTATCAGAACTATCTGTGCCTTCCAGGACAAGTGTCTCTGACTGCAGTACACTCAGTATTCCTCACTTCTTGACAAACGGGGCATTAGGCAAAGTATTTCTTGCAAGACCTGTCAGCATCTATTCACCTTCCAAACACCAAAGGACCAAACCGGTGAAAACCTCAGCAGTTGTTAAATTAGCAACAAAGCTTTTGTTAAATTCATGAAGGCCAAAATTCCATCCAAACAATTAATCCAAATATCAAAAAGAATCCTTTTTAGTTTTCTCATATATTCAGTGGCCTTTAAACAGAAAAGCTCAGTGTTTGTCTTTCCCTCACATGAGACTGAATTTACCAATTATACCGTACAGTGACACTGAAAGCTGTGTCTGTTAAGTGCCCCCTCTCACTAATGACAGCGTTGACATAACTCCACAGAAATCCCATGTGCAGTTTGGGAGACTAATTTGCACACTGGCAACTTTGGAGGCACTTTCAGGGATTCAGGAGAAAGGAAACAAAAAGTGCCAAGGTAGCTGCAGTGCTGAAGTGGTTCCTAGCTTGGGTGGCTTGCAATATTGGTATCTTGGGGCACAGTACTGCAACACTGAGCTGCCAAAGGATCCTCATGATATGAGAGGCGTCAGGGGAATTTCAACTCATCAATGCCTAATTCTGAAATTGCTGGTAATTCATTATTGAAAAATTCAGAACAAGCCAAGACACTTGGAAAACCTTAACTATCAGATGTGGACTTCTCTACCCCAGAATTACAGAGCTCAAAATCATTTTAATGGAAACCTCTAACCATTAATTGGGCATTGATACCATGCTTAAAGTGTCCAACCCATGTGAATCTTTCAGGTTCAAGTTTGGGCACACCTGAAAGACCCTGACCAAGGCCCAAGCAATGCGGCTCTGCACTCTGCTGCTTGCCTTCGACACCTTGAGTCGTATCTCAGGATCACAAAGGGCAGCTCACATGAAGGAATATAGAAGTCACAGGGCAGACTGGTGGATGTGGACAAAAGCTTTGCATCAACAAGGTTTTCCATATTTTTGGCTCCAAAACTCCTCTATCATATCATGTATCTTCACTAGCTGTACTTGCTTGAATTTATCATTGTCGTATAAACTAAAGAGCACTGACATCTCAAAAAAATTTACTTCTTTTTAGTAGTTTAGTAGTTTTATAGACTTTCTTGGACCATATAAATACATATTTTAAACTCGGAACTACTGGAAAATCTCTGCCATTTCCAGACACCCTACTCTAAGCTGTTTGTTCACATTGGAAAGCATGTCCTACTCAATAAGTAATCCAGAAAACATTCAGTAGAGCACCGTGCTCTTAAATGCTCTATACCTGTAAAAAAAGACCTGCAGAAAAAAAACATATGTACTGCTCACTGCAGCAAAACCTGTGCTCTGTCCCCTGGCATGGTGCAAAGGTGCTGTCCCTGCTCTTCTTGGGGTGCGCCCAGTCATACAAAATAAATCAACCATGGCTCATTTCTTGGGCAAATTACTCTTATCAAGCTGTTGAAACACAACAATCAAACAGATTTTTGGGAGTGTTTTTTTTCCCCTGTGTTGCATGGATTAATTTTGTATCCATTGCCTGTTCCCCAGTTGTGGTAGCAACGATGGTCGCTCCCCATCATTCCAAAAACAAATGAAGATGACCTTAGATTGCAGTAGATGGGAGCAGCACGGAAAAACTAGAATTTAACACTGTGAGCAGCAGGAGCTAGGTACAAACGTGACAATGCTCTGTGTACACACCCACACATGGATATTAACTGTGCTGGCAGCTTACAGCAGAAAAAAAAATGTTTGCTTTGCCTTCCTTTAACCTATCTGCTAAAGTTTACTTTCACAGTCACCAAGTGTATGAATGAAGTTGAGAAAAAACAAAATGATGCAAACTCCAGTTTGGTTATTGGTGACCTGCCTAGAGCTACAGAAGAACAAAGCTGTTTTACTCACCCGAGGACCTCTCTTTCCTGACGGACCAGGTAAACCTGGAAGACCTGGAGGACCCTGGTGGTAGAAAAATCAAAACAATTGAGGCTAAAACCTGATACAAGACAGTATCACAAGTCTGAATCTGACCAGTTCCTCTGACTGATGACTTTCAGCTCGTGCAGACCTTCTCAACCTGAAAACCAATTCCCAAACTACAAGCATGTGTTTTTAATCTGGCTCTAAAGCAGATTGCTGTTTAGAAAGTATCTTATGTCAGAGGAATTGGAGCTAACAATCGAGATAATACAAATACACTTCAGTAAAAGTTACTAAAGGAAGAAAAAATCAGTTCAAGGATTAGAAACAAGCAAGTTCAGTGCATCTCAAAACAAAGAAGAGAGAATAATTAAGCCTTTTTAATAAGTATGCTTGCATGCCAAACATTTTTAAGAAGTCAGGAGTAACTGTTAAAAAACCTGACATACCACCTCACAGGAAAGACAGACATGAAATGAAAGAAAATAAACGTGGACAAATGATTGTTCGGTTTCCTATTACAGGCTTCTGATAAAAACTGGTATTGTTTGCCCTTGTAAATAATGAATATTCTCTTTAAAGAAAATAGATTTTTTTTTAATGCTAGTATATAACAAGACTTATCTTTCAAAAATAAATTAGATTATTAGTCACTATAAGAATGTTAGCCATTGTACCATCCTCTGTATATCTAATTGTTTTGACTATACAAACCTTCCCTTTTCTGTATGTGATTGCTGCTCACATTCAAAACCCCAGGTTCTACTTCAGTGTACTCAAATATGCATGAGAGCCCTTGACTGAAATCTGCACTAATTTATATTTCACCTATCACACTTGAGTCCTAAGGAGGCATGGGATATTCTTAAGGGTGAACTCAGCTCCTATCCAAATGCCAGGACAGGGAGTCCCAGCTTTAACAAACTAAGTACTGCCACTGCAAGGGAAAATGAGCATCGAGAAGTCAGACCTCACGAAGGAGGTCAGTCCATCATAGCAGAAAGGGATTAAACTTGGATTGAACTGGATTAAACTCAGGATTCCTCGTGCTCCTGTTCTGTGTATACTACAGCCTCTCAGTGGAGTCACTAGACAAAACAGTGAACAGCATATTGCCCATCGCCAAGCAGCACAGCTGAAAGCTGGCAGGGATACCAGGGAATTTAGAAGTGCAATTATCATGGCTGAAACAGCCAATTCACAGGCTTTGCCAAAAAAAAAAAAAAAGAAAAAAAAAGAAGACAACATTTGAGGCTTTCTTAACAACCAACAAATCATTTTCTTAAAGAGAAAAGTTGCATTTTTAAAAACCTGAAATTTTGTGGAAGTGATATTTCTTTTTCCTTGGAAAGATAATGTCACTGGCAGAGAAGACAGTGCCGATTATGGACTTCAGGCATTGTCAGGCCAATTACATTCATTTGGCATAAATACAGATCACTTTGGACAATTTTGGGAAAAACACTTGTTCCGAGAAAAAAAAATTCTTCTCCAATTAATCATAATAATCTTAGGAGTCCAATTGCAGTGCAACTGCTGGTTTATAGTTGGGAATATTTGTATGCCCATACATACTGCATAAAGTCACACTGAAACCCATACCCTGCACTTCTGTCTCTGTCATTCAGGAGACACAAACCTGTGTAACAGCCCTGCTCTTTAGGTGAAACCGTAACAGGTCATACTTTCAGCATAGGAGGTTCCCTATTCAGTCTGATTGTGTAAGTGCTCACTGGTGTCCTTACCCTTTTCTGAAGTAAAAAGACTGTTTAATAACAAAAAAAGCTAACCAAGCAAACAAAAAATTAAAAACAAACAAACAAACCAACCCCACACAAAGTAACAGACACATGGAAAGTTCATGAACCAGCATTCTTGTCGAGGTCCAAAACTCTACCTGAAAGGGCACAGAGAGCTCTCGCCCTGCCACTGCTGTAGTAGTATGCTTTCTAAACTCTCCTCTCAAACTGTAAGAGATGCACTTTGCTTAGAAACCTATCCTTGGACTAACAAAGGGAAACATACTATACTTTTCACTAAGTAAAATAGTTGCAACTAGTGTGCATTCTTTTGCAATTTGTGGTACAGAGTCCTTCTGTATCTCTATGTAAAAAATACATTAATAACCAAATCCCACTATTTTCCTAATAGAAATCTTAGTGAGTATTTATTAACATCCCTGATCTTTGCTGCTCATTTACTGCATGAGGGCAATGAGAACATTTTTCTCCTATACGGCTTTTAAAATAGTACCCACTTCCTTTGCAAAAGAAAAAAGCTAGGCACCAAAAAAACACACACAAAAACACCCCCTCACTTTGATTACACTAATTCTTAAGTAATTATCTCTTCATCTTAAAAAAAAAACCCACAAAAAACAAAACACCACAAAAAGAAAATCCAATCACAACCAAGCCCTCAGCAACCCCTAAAAGCAGGAAAATACATTTTGAAGTACGCAGCCAGAGATGAATAATGCCTTCTCAAGGCTTTCTAACACAAACCATTGTAGATGAAGTCTCTGGTTAACAATAATTAGAAATTAGCACCAGAAATCCAAGTGTTTGATTAAAGCATTAGCAAGGACTCCCCTTAACCAGAGTACGGTAGCCCTTAACCTCCAGCTTAGACTCCTCCCTACAACTCAAGCAACACCTCGGCTGACAGCTGACACAGAGTGACCACATGTAAGTCTTCCTGGAAGAAGACGACAACTTCCAAATAGTTGTACGAAGGTTTTCCACCTTATTTACTTCTTCAACTTGTGAAACAACTACAAATTTAAATCAGCATGATTATTTTCATACTAGCTGGAAACTGTGCCTCTTAGGCATCCATGTAAGCCACAGAAGTCAGTGTCCGAGATCAAGCCAGTCCCTCTTAAACCAAGGAGTTAGTCATTTGTTTGAATAGCTTTTCCTTCAACTACTGGAAACCATAATTAAACAAACGTGAAGCAATTAAAAGTGTTAGTGTGGTTTTTTGCTTTTGACATTTTAATCAGCAACAAAATAGTGACTTTGTGTATATAATATTGATGCTAATTTAAAATTAATCTATTTAATAAGATCAATTTGCGCAAACAAATCCTATGTGCCTTAAGAAAGGTATACAACTTAATGTCCTTGGGAATTGTGAAAAATCCATTTAGCTAATGAGGGGAGGAAGTCAAGTTCCAAATAATCATGGCTGAATACTGAAATAATTAAAGTACATGCTACTCTTCCAGAGATTTTCACTGCCTTCCCAATGATCATAAGGATAAATGTAATAGTGAATTTTCACAGATGTTTTCTAGGATACTGAAGCCCTTTATGGATGCATGTGTTTTAAACTTGCCCTACTTCAGAAGGAATAGAAAGGATTTCATTTACATACAACAAGCCACTAAGATTTCAGATGCAGCAAACAGTGATAAGATGCATATATTCTCTAGTGCACTGTAACATCACGATCACCCTCATCTGACTTCCTAACCAGTCACTCCCCCAGCCTTTATTTGGAATTCTAATTTTTTGTATTAATGCACTGTTTCATCCCATCAGTTTTAGACCATCTGGAATTCTGATTCTGTCTCTCAACATTCTTCTCCCTACTCCTAGCATGTTCCATCTACCTTTTGAAAGCATATTACTTCATACATACACTGATTTAATTATTGAGCAACAAGGATCCTGCCAAACATGATTGTCCATCTGCTTTTTCTTCTTGCTTCATTTGCATTTCACTGCAAGTCATTAAAAAAAAAAAAACCCAAAAAACAACAAACACACAACCAACCCAAACACATGCTTCTCTCCCAATGCCCTAGAGCGTGCAGTCACGTGTATGATTAACCCCTCTTCTTTACCACTGTGGAAGTCTTCCCTTTCTCTGTCAAGAATTCCTACAACAGCCAAAGCAGTGTCATCAACATCAGAGGAATATATTTATATATGGTTATGAATTAAAGCTTCAATATTGTTGTGCAGAAGATGAGGAAACTGCATCAGTTTCAGGTGAATTAAAAGAAATGTTTAAATATTTTAGACAAACATAACCTTTTTGCTATTAAAAATAAAACAATGTCAACCTTAAGTTTTTATCTGAATCAAGGGATACTGAGATAGATTTCTCAGCCAGTGTAGG